TTTCTTGACTTTGTTTTTGACGTCACAGTGTTGTTAACCTTGCTCCGTGGTGACAAAACATGTCACTTTAAAAATTGTCTAACACAAGTTCCATTCAACCAAATGGAATGACACTTTACACACTGATAGAATAAATGTTTTTACATATAAAAATGTGTTGATCTAAAATTTTGTAAGAATGATATGATGATAAAGGACATCGTCTACGTATTTTTGAATGACCCTCGTATACTTAAAGCAATATGAGCTGCATTTTTGATGCAATTTGAATAGTATTTACCTGTAAAAAAAGTTTTTTTATGATAAATATCTATGTAATTAAACCTTTATGACCAATTAGACTGAAATAAAGTACTTAACTTTTTCAGAAAAAATTGTACAATTAAATATAAAGGATTATTTAAAAATCTATATTGCATTGGACGCCAATAATGTAATTTTCCTTCGAATAGAGCTTATAAATAGTTCTTCCATTGCAAATATGAGCAACAAAGTTTACAAGCATTCTTTTTCTCTATCTTCGAAATAGTTAATTACAATTTTGCAACAAAAACTCCCGAAATCAAAATTGCAGCTCATATTGCTTTAAACGTTATCCAGGCAAAAATTAAAAAAAAAAGATTAACCTCGACCATATTTGTTCAGAATTATAAATATTGCACTTGGATGTCGTATATGTAGGAAATCAAATATATATATATATATATATATATATATATATATATATATATATATATATATATATATATATATAACAAAGGACAATTCCCAAATGACTGACATTCTAAATCTTAAAGGTACTTAGACACAGATTTGAAGTTATTATTTTCTCAATAATATTTCCACTTATATATTTTAATAGCATTTCACACAAAAATTAATTAAAGATTTTATTTCATGATATGAAAAGATATTAAAATTTCATTTTTTTTTTGGTCGTGTTTGATTGTACAATCCTTGCTCTTTTACAAATCAATTCTTTTCTTCATCCTTCAGAAAAGTGGCATCGTTGTATATAAATGAAAAATACTAATACTTTAATCCAGAAATATCAAAGTAGATATGTTCGAAAGCATAACAAACACACAATATATTGTCAGTCCGTGCAGTTGTGGTACGCAGACTGTGACGATTGAACGCATCCGGTGAATTGTAAACATCAACAATAATAGAACTATTGCCCTGTTTACAGAAACTATGTACATAACACGAGTGTGCTCGATTTGCTAAACTCTGTATGCAACTCTTATTTCGGAATGACAATACTTGTGAAGGAGTTTTGCTTTCTAACATTCTTAATCTGAATAAAATTATTTTTCTGGATGAAAATTTTAATATTTCTCATTAATAAACAGCAAGATTGCAACTTTTTCTAAGGATTAAGAATAAAGTTAAAATTTGTGAAAGTGCAAGTATATGTGTCATTCAAAACCGCCAAACAATTTGAAGTTTTAATTACTTTTAAATGAAAAAAGATTTTTGACGAGACGTTTCTCAAAATCTGTTTTGTATATCTTCGTAATGTATGAAAAATATTCAAATTTTTAATAACTTTATGATTTCTAAACCAGTTTCTAAACGTTTTCAAAAAATCCAAACGCTTAAACATTTGAACTACACCAGGTATCTTGCAGGAATGCCTGTTAAGGTACCTTAATTTTTTGTGAGTAAACATGTTTACGTAGCAATACTTCAATGACAAACTCTTAGAAAAAATTATCTATTATTGAGGAACGCCTCGTTTGTCCTTATAGAAAAAATATTGACTTCAAATCTGTCTCTAAGTACCTTTAAAGATCAATCATTTTGAAATTGTTGGTTTACTGTAAAGTCACTGTTTTGTGGGGAACATTTTTTGGTTCGAGAAAAAAAAATATTGATATGTGGGGATTGGATTTCGTGTTTGAAGAAGTGTTGTGTAATGGAGCATATGAAGTTTACATTTCTTAGTAGTGATGAACTAGTGGGTCTATCCATACTTCGAAAACAATATTAATTAAATCCCCATGAAAATTAGTAATTCACGTTAACAATTGGCTTTTCTCACTTTTCCATAAGACACGTATATCGCTGAGTATTGATCACTACTTTTTTCATCATAATATCTATGCGACATTTAATAAATCTTAATATAATAATAAGTCTAGGTATTCAATGGGAATATCGAAAAACATTGTTGGACATTAATACAAACTAGTCACTATTCATTTCTAGCGTTTCAAATGAAAAGAAGTCGTTTTAGGTCTCCTTCTTGGCTAATTTTAGTCTTAAGGGTAGCTGGATCAGTCTGTAGAGAGTTTGATTTTTTATTGGAAGGAATTGTATGCTCGAATGACGACCACATCTGGTCTAAGTCAATAAAAAAGGTAGCACCTGTTCCCTGCAGGTTAATTTCAAAGTGCCGCAAAAAGGTCTAAATTTGAGGTCCACCAAAGGGACGTATATATTCAAACGGGACATATTCTAATTTCTAAAAAAGAATACAATCAATCAATCAATCAATCAACAAGATTGCTCGTTTTAGGGTTTGATTGTATGGCCATTTGATCGTGTGATCAAACCGATTGACCCAAGTCAATGTCCTTGAAGTTTTTTAATCTAATGAATCCCGTTCCAAGAAATGTGTAAAAATGGAAGTTACTTTAAAACATTTTCATTAAACATTAAAAATACATACTGTAAAATCACATATTTACAAGGGGTCAAAATTTCGAGGGTTGAGGAAAATAGTTTGGTTCATGAGGATTTGATGTCATGGTTGAAGAATTGTTCAGTTGTATTATTTGTGGAAAATGGCATTTCGTGTTTGATATAAATCCGTGGGTCTCTTCATACCTTGAAATTATGAAAATTAACCCACCACGAAGATTTAGTGATTTCACAGTAACCCGTCATTTAATCAACACAATCACTTTAAAAAATATTTATTATCATTTTCATATTATCATTATTTTTATTCTCGTTACTTTGTAAGCTCTTTTTTTCTTTTGATCTATCAAAAATCAGAATTAATATTCCAAAGAAATCATTTTTTTCCTGAAAACTCCAAAACAATGTTTTTGCACATTTTGTATCGCCACTTTTTGAAGACAAAGACAAAAAGATTGAATACTATTAGTCTATAGCTGCAAAAAAAAAAACAAATTCACCTTGGACTTTACCTTACTCTCGAGTGTAGAGCTCTAAGCTGCTGTGTACTCATGTATACTGTGTCAAAAGTTCAGCCAGAAGACTCAACAAAATCTGTCATGTGTAAAAAAAAAGCCCACATTTTTGAAAATCTTCTGTAGTCAAGGACATTAATCAAACGTGTATGAAATTAATGTCCCTTTGTAAAGGATTTTTTTGCGATATATGTAGTATATATCTAATTCCATAATATTTGTTAATTTCAGTAAAGCAGATTACCTCAATTTAAGAATGATTTGTACATGTATTTAAGTCTTCTATTACAATTCACTTTTTTTACATTCAGTTTTACTTTAAATTTTGTGCTGTTAGAAAAAAAATGTTTCAACGACATCTAGATAATATAACTAAAATTGATTTTGTTTATTTTTTATTTTTTTGGACTTTTTATAAAATTAATTTAATTATATTACATGTATGTATGTAAACAAGACATTATTAATATATTTTTCAAGTATATCTATTTGATAAGTTTAATAAATCAGAGTTTTGATAAAAAAAAAACCATTGTATAGTAAATCAAAATGTTCATGGTGGCAACGTTTTCATTATAAAAAATTAAAGTTTTCCTAGTGCTAAATCTATCACTATAGTTAATAAAAGTTTTCATAATGATCACTGTATAATAAATCAAAGAAAGCATAGTGTCAAAATTATCAATATAGAAAATCAAAGATTTATATATAAAGAAACGTTTTCATAGTGTCAGAGTTCTCACAATTATAGTAATCAGAGTTTTTATAGTGATCATTAATAAAAGTAAAATCAAAGTTTTCATAGTGTCGAGGTTAATAGCTATAATTAATCACAATTTTGATAGTTTTTACTGAATTAAAGCAAAGTGTCAAAGTTATCACTATGTTCTACTACAGAAATCTTTTGTTAACTATAGTAAAGCATATATACAAGGTGCGTTAACAGAAACACTTTTATAAATCTTAGTCGACTAGTATCCGAGATATTCAAATATTGTCATAAAAATTTAAAAGTAGGTCCTAATAACCTACTTTTGGTTGATATTATCCAAGATGTATCAATTGACACAGTTCGATCTTATGTCTTAGAATCCAAAATCAATGTAGTGAAAATGCCTGCAAAAATTCTTTGTTGCTTTATTTTTTCACAAAATGAAATATTATTAGGGCCCCCAAAAGCATCACCTAACACATAAAAGGTTTGATTATTCTATATAATTCTCTACTAACCGTAAACTTGTTCAAAGATATTAGCCATAAATCAAAGTATGGGTCAGGGTGATCTACTTTCCAGTTGACGTAATCTGAGAATCCAATAAGAATGAACAGAATATGACAAAATACATGTATATGGCCTACATTTCACAAATTTGACACACACCACCGAATTCCACAGCATTGGCTCTTTCAGCCTTGGTCTCAAAAGAGCCAATTTAAAAGATATCTTACGAATGACTTGGCAACAAAGGATAAAAATAATATTAAAGCTATCTTACTTAATGTAAGCAAAATATTATTTCTAATTAAACTATTACCCCCTCCCCTTTTTTCAACTGCAACCTTGGGTAATTTTAGGTATAGGCTACGTACAAAGATTTACTTACAGTTACACCTGTTTCTGGAGATCAAAGTTTTGTTGCAAAGAAATAAAAATAGATATTTCAAAGAACATCAACGCCATAAAATGCATATCAATATGCAAGCATACTCAGGTAGTGTTGATTTTATTTTCTTACATTCTGATGCCAACAAAGTTAAATGGGGGAAGGGTAATGAAAAAAAAAGTTAAATGTACCCGACTGACGTGCCTAAAAGATTAAATTTTTTTTTCCACAGATTATTTTCTATTTTGGATGAAATCCATCCTCACGTATTGTCATGGGCAATCGCATAACGATAAAGACAGTGATGTTATTATTATCATAATAGCAACACATTGGGACACATCTGTTTACAAGGTAATACAGCTTATACATAGACTTTTTATGTATGCTCGATATTTTTGAATTAAAATTTAACTTCTCTACATTGATATAGAGTGATGACTATGTTGTCAACTTGCACCTATTGTAACATTCAGTGAAAATACAAGGATTAACTAAGCAGTTCATTCACTGATTAATTATCAGAATATTAGATTAAGAAGTTAAATTAACATTAATTCATTTTTAAAAGACCTTTATGATACATATTAACGCGCAACAACCGCGAACAAATATTGCGTTATTTAAAGCAAATCAGGCTCAAACATTTACCTCAACATTCATTCTTACCTACATAAAGTATATGTATATCTTTCTGACAATAATTATTACAGGATAAAGCCGAGTTTCTTGATAGTCTTCAAAGGGTATTGCCAGCTAATTCTAACCTTGCCCAGTACATCATAGAAGATTGGTGCTTCTGCATAAATTTATTAAAAGACCCGATCAATGACCTAGAAAAACTAATTGTACAAATAGTGAAGTATGGAAATTGGAGCGAAAAAATTCCTTCTGAATGGATACTGTCTGACATATTCCAGAAAGAAAAGCATAGGCGGGTTATGAATCTTGAGGAAATCAAAACTCTTTTCAGGCATCATGGAGATGAAAATCAAGTGCTTGATCTGGCAAATGATATGTTAAGATATTACCACGATGCCGGAAAAGTTCTTCATTTTGATGAAGAAAGTCTTACTAATTCAGTGATAATTGATGTCCAATGGTTTGTAAATGCGTTTAAATTCATTATGACAGATAGGCATCATGTAAAGGGAATCAATGCCAGAATGCAAGATTGGGATGAATTCTACAATACAGGAAATTTAAAAGATTCCCTTCTCAATGACATATGGAGAATAGAAGATGAAAGACTTTTGAAAACGAAAACCAAAACGTCATCAGAAGAAATCAAATTTGATGACGATCCTTATTTTATAATGTATCACAAAGAAGAATTATTGTTGTACATGCAGAGATTGGGTTTGATTTCTAGTGAAGGCGAGACGCACTATGTTCCTTCCATGAACAAGAAGGACTTCGGGGGAAAACAGAAGGAGATAATCAAGAGGTCCAAATCAAAGTCCTCAGTGCTTGTATTCTTGTTTGACTTCTTGCCTTATTTCTTCTTTTATCGTTTGGTAGTGGCACTGATGCAAATAGAAGATTGGAAAGTTCTGAGAAGTAATAACATCAGTTGCTTGTACAAGGACGCTGCCATGTTCACTCACAGTGATCATGATATCGCCTTAGCAGTAACTCCATCCACAATACAACTGCAAATATTTCAGTCTATCTCTGAAATGACAATGTCCTCGAAAGTAACATTGTCTATTCGAAAAACAGTTGAAGACATACTGCAGAGTGTAACTAAATCTTTTCATAAATGTCTTGCATACGATGTGGGATTCATTTGTAATGAAAATGAAAATTATATTCTTGGCAAAGAAGTTGCTAGCAATTTTATTCAAGAGGGTTTGTTGGTAGGAGGAAGGCAGATGAGATGCCCGCAACACCAGGTGGAAGATTTCCACACCATCAATCCTGATTATCTGCTGGCTTATTGGATATAAGAACCTAATAGATATTATCGTTTACGATGTACCTAAACATGCTTATTAATGCACTAACTGTTACATCATGAAAATATTTGTATTAGCGTGATTTATGCTTTCATTGGTGTTGATGTCATCACGTTTCTTCGTAACACGTATTCAGAATTTAAAGTTCCCCATTTTCCCTTAAGTGAAAATCATGTATTTGGTCATAATTAAGTTAAAGAAATATTTGTTATAATTCATTTATCATTATTTTTTTTTTCATTAAAGAAAAAAAAAATATGAAAACATTTTTTTAGTTATTTGTAAAGAAAATTGATTTTTTTTCTACAGCAATTTCCGTCTAAGGAATTATTAAGAATCCCTTAACCTTATCCGTCTTTTTTGATTGGTGATTTGTATCAATGATTGTGATCAACCCTTTTTTTAGCTTTTGCTTGTACTTTGCGTTGCACCATGGCTTACGTGCTACTCTTAACAGAGTCTGCTTATATCAATCAAAAAAGAAGGATAAATAGATCTTATTTTTCATTGACTTGTTCTTAAAGAATTCGGTTTTCAAAGTCTTACAATGTCTAGATTATTGTATATATGTCATTTTCTTAAACTTAAATCGTTCTGGAATTTTAGCCGTGTAGATATTTATTTCCCTGAAAACAAGCCTCAAAAACACCTCTGTTGATTTCGGGTTTTATTAAATGTATTGTATTAAGAAACTACTTTATAACGAATTCATTTTAGAAATAAATTTGGATAAGTCTAAAAAAAAGTGACAGCCAGTCTATCAAATTGTTTAAAAGAATGAAAATTCTGTGACCACAAATTCTCTTTAACATGATATATATATTCAGTGTTTCAACTTACTTTAAATCAGATTTCATGTAATTTGATTTAAAAAGGTTGTCCAAATACAATGGCGTCTTTGTCAAAACGAATTGTAAAGATATGCTTATTAATATTGTATTCCGAAATTTTAGCCTTGAATATTCAAGTCAATCAGGGTAAATGTTCCGATAAAAATCAATGATCCACATTTTTGCCGTTACTATGAAATAAGCTGTAAGTCAGACTTGCCATTGTGGTTTGAATATACAAAGTATTAATATTTATAATGTTCAATAAATAGTGTGCATTGTTTTATGTCTTCTCTTATGTATATTTACTAAACTATGGTCAATTCAGATATCATCATATCATACAAGTATGCCATTACTGATTTCATATAGAAAATAGAGCATTTTTCCACGAACTTTTTGTACACCTCTCGTACATGACATTGGAAATTGGATTTATTAAAATTTGTGAGGACATATGAATCGTTTTTAGGAAATGCTATTACTACGTTTCCGAAATTCTTTCATGGAGAAGATAGTCATTGCAACATTATTGTGTAAGAAAATGTTATACTTTATTTGCAAAAATATTTTTGGGTATTAAAAATTAAATTTATATTTTATCTCCCATATATTCGATATTAGTTTGAACTTTCAAAATGTTATTCCTTTTTTAAAATATAAAGAAATAATCAATGTATTTTGTATATTTCAAATGTCTGTATAAATAAGATGGGACAATGATAGGGAAACATCAAGACCATCATTTGAGAAATAAATGCAACATACACATGATTGACTGATATGAAAAGTATGGTTAATAATAAATGTGCAATATTGAAACAAAATATGGAAATTCTTCAATAAAATATCATTATTTTTTAGCAATTCGTTGATCATGACATTATAAATGAAGCAAAAAAGGATTTTATTCGTACACAAATCACATATTATTTTTACTGGCAAAATAAAATCAATCTGCCTCTTTTCAGTGAATGCTTACCACAGCGTTCTGTTATAATTGGGTAGAGAAAACAGTGTTTCATTAGGTTGAAATATGTTTCTATTTCTATTTTTTCCCTCTATGATAAATTTTTGAAGGTAAGTGACATTGAGGTCTTCATAGTTCTACCGGAATGTAAATTAAGCAAATCGAAAGTCAGGAGCTAAGAAGATCGTATAAGCATGTAAACTTCGTGCGCATCTGTTTGGGTCTGACGCTTAGGAGGCCAAATATGCATGTAAATATCAAGCGACTGTTTTTGTGTTTGACGTCAGTGGACTTTTAAAGCTGGCATGGGAGTCTATTTAGTCTACATTTCAAAAATCTAAATCTACAATTTATTTCACAATGAAATGGAAATATAAGCCCGTTAGGCATATTATCCTACGTTTCTCACTGTTGTTGATACCCTAGCATACTATACTAACTAGAATGTGATTCATTAGATGGAAGACAAAATAATGAAATTAATTTTAAAGGAATGTGACATGCAGTTCATAATTCTGATATGCACATCAAAAAATAACTGAAAAAAATCCAATAAAATATTTTCGATATTACTTACTTGTTTCCTGGTTTGCCGGACATGGAAACCCGGTTAAAAAAGTTTTAATATAAAAAACCCATTTATCGTCATCATTATCGTTACCGTTATAAGATTTTCCTCATGAAAATGCATGAACCAAATGACGATGATAAGATCTGTTAAAATGTACTGCTGAATCAATAAAATATTCATTGGTGTGGAAAACCCTTTATAATAATGAACATTTCTCATTCTATAAATATGGAATGAATTTCGATTTCCTTATCAGAATTTAAAGGTAGAAAGCTAATTCTCAGTTTCATTTTTTTTATCGATAATATTGTTTTTGTTCTGATTTAGAATATTTCTCTTTCTACATTCGTATTTAAACTGCTTATTGGAAAAGATAAAATAGTCTCAAATGTTATTTCATAAAATAAAAAAAAAAATCATGAAAAAAAATCTAAGTATTTTTCCTTTTCTTAAACACTCATTTAACCCACCATCGATGATTAGTGTTATAAAAGAAAATCATGAAAATAAAAGTAGCATGAGCTCCATCGTCGCAAACCTCTCCTATTCTGGCTGTGGTTGAGCTCATTAAAAACTTTACCAATGCGAGTAAAGCATAGTTGGATGATGAAATTAATCGCGGCCTTTCAATGTCTTATCACTGTATAAGAAATATTTCTTGTATACTGTTGACGTCAGCTGTTGATTTCAATTGCGATGGAAAAAATCTTGCCACTGACTGAATATGACGTCACAATTAGAGAAGCGTAAATATTCAACATAACAACACTTTTTGTGATCAAGCAGCTACTGGTAGGAGAGTGCTATATGAGAGAGACTCCGGACAGTGGATTTAGACGATGCATGAGCTCTTGTATTTAAACATCAGTGAAGTTTTATTTTATCAGGGTTAGAGATTATCATTTTTTGATACAATATATGATAGACGTTTCAAATTCAGCATTAGCTGGCAGCGTTCTTTAAATCGTTTTACATTTTTGCAAATTACATATCAAAATGATTTGTTTACCCTAAAAAGCACTTCATCAAGTCGGGACCACTCGCCCATACGAGATACACATTGTAATAGCCCTGTTGGGATATAATATCCCAGAACGGATACAAATTTTAAACAATGAATCTCTTTTATTTTGGTTATTAATATGTAAAAAAAAAAGACTTCTTGGGGATCAATCTTCCAGACGATAGGGTTGCATATATAGTCGTTCAATGATGCGTTTAATGACATTTATTGCTAAAAAAAGAAAAATATAATTTTTTTGCACTGTAAATTTACATCCCATCTGGAATATTATATCGTTAATGGGCTATTATATTCCATTTGTGCGAATGATCCCAACCTGTTGAAGAGATTGCAAAATATACGACAAATGCATGTACGAATTCATATAAATGTAACAAAATTTAACCGGAAAATACAGAGAACATTAAAAAGAAAATTAACTTGCTTTCTCTTCTTGATACTTATAATAATATAAGTAATAATTTAAACTTCGTATCTAGCATTTTTTAAGAGCCAAAGACAAAGAAAAAAAATGAAAAAAAAAGAAATGAGTTGTACATTCTCCTTAACATTGGTACATGTACATTTGCAAATTAACCACAGACTTTTGTTGTACTACTACAAAAAAGTTTATTATCGAACAAAAGAAAATTCAAATAAGAAATGAATTGGACAGTAACGTAAAGCTTAAGGTTTTGTTGTTTTCAATTTAGTGAGGAGATCGGATACTAATTAATTATAAGGGATATATTTGTTGTTTAGAATGTTTTTTCTGATTGATTATAAGGCATTTAAGGATATCCGATCCTCAGCCAGGTAGGATAACTCCAAATGTTAACATGGAAATGCAATAAAATGAGGCTAGAGAATGAATTTTTTATGCAACAATTTTCATTCTATTCATCCTTATAAGAATCAAGGTCTTTGGAAGTTTTAGAAAAGGTCTTTTAAAAGTTGACATTTGTACGCTATTACAGGAGAAAAAATTAATAAAGTTTTAGAGAAATAAGATTTTCTTGAATCCAACCTTAGATGCCAATGCTTATTAGTATAATATGAAATAAAAAGTAATATATGGTGTCTGGCAACGATAGCAAAAGTCTTTTCCACCATGTTTCATAGAATACAGGACGGAAATAGAAGACAAAATATGCCAAATAAGTTTAAAATTCATGGTAATTCCTCCGAATGACCGGATACCTACTTTTTTTTAGCCTTAAATATATTTGTGATCAATTTGCAATTAGAAAATGCATCGCTGATATTTGCTTTTCCAGCAAAAATATTTGGTATTTGCCAATTTTTCCATATATTATATGATTGACTTTGATCTTTAACTTGAAAGAAATACAGTGGATAAGATTACATAACTTTTTGGGTTCAAAGATACTTTTGTGAGTATTTTTGATTACTTGACTTCTAATTTTATGAACCTGGGGATCGGACTACCTTAAAGCAATTCTTAAAATTTCTGTATCATAAGACATGTGAACATGAAACTAAAATTTCTGTAAAGCTTTTTGTCAAAAGAGCGAACATTCTTTAAGAATCAAATGCAAGATGTTACTTATAAACAAATTACTATCATTATGAACATCACAGGAGAATGCATGTGTAGTATTGATAGAACTTTTTCAAGATTCACATGTATAATCCAT